ACGGGTGTTCATTCACTGAAGTAACTGAATTTTGTGCATGAGCAGTCTGCCACATTTATTGCCAAATAATTTTCAGACATGACGTACAGCTAGAAACACTCGCACATCGGGAAAGGGGGAGGTGGGTTAGCCTAGTGGTTAGGGCGTTCGCTCGCCACGCCGAAGACCCGGGTTCGATTCCCACATGGGTACAATGTGTGAAGCCCATTTCTGTGTCCCCCGCCGTGATATTGCTAAAATATTGCCAAAAGAGGCGTAAAACCATACTGACTCACTCACATCGGGAAACCCCTATTTGAAATGATTGGAAAAGTTTTGCAATAGTTTATCGGACAAGTAGGCATCGTGTAGATGTATGGGGCTTATTAAAAAGGGGTTCATGCTGCGTGACTTCATTTGCACATCTGTCGTATTTGTATTGTTATTTGGGTTGGTTTGTCACATCGATAACATTATCCATTATATGCTAAACAGCATATATTTTCTAAAATTGTGGCATTTGACACGGTGGATGAACATCGTATTCACAACATATTGTCGTTGATTTACATTTATCTGAGCAACTTGACTTTCGTTGTTTTTCTGCATATCGCTAACCAGGTCTTTCAGTTTTCGGGGGTGCTTATGACATCATCATTTGCATCCTGACGTCATAGCATTTCGGAGTGATGGCATGCATATATGAGAATTATTCACGTAGAATACATTATGAATTAAAATCTATTATCAAACATTCACAAGATCGGACATTCTCAGTAATCAGTGTTATCGACAACTTAAGGGCAGGTTCATGCAAAACTGAAACTACAATTTGCTTTCAATGTATCAGACAGATTAATATCCTAATGAACACTTCAAAGATTTCAGGGCACATATATCGATTTTCATGATTATACTACAAGAATTTGCAAAGAGCCAGAATACTCCATGGGCTATATCCGTTCGATTAAGGCCTAATATGTGCAAACTTTTGCTTGGATGCAAAAACATTTAGTTTATCAACATAAAAAATGCATCAATATCACGTTTGTAATTTCGCATACTTTAAGAACATCATAGTTTTTGTAAATCCTGTCCTGATTGTGGACAAATTTGTCTCTTATTTTCATAAAAATACTGCCCAAAACGACCCGATATATTCATCCGATGACGATGAACACAGCGGGTTACAGTAGACTCGTAGAACAAGACGTTTCTTTGGGGTATAACTTGATTGAGGATCCGCCAACCTAAAAACACAAATTCTCAGTAAAATGTTTATCTTGCAACCTTTTCAGTAAAAACTCAAGATAATCGATGTGGGAATAAAGGTGATTCAAGGAAGCGCCAAACGACAGCACATTTCTTTGTTTTTCAATCTACCGATCACCGAGACATACTTTTGACGACACGTTTTTATCATCTAACTGTTTTATTTTGCGTTCTGTTTACATCTGATGTGGTGTTCGATATACGCATGGACAAGAATGTTTGCACTGGGGTTTGTTGTCACAGTGCTACCCCGTCCCCTTGTTCCTGGACCGAACCCTTACAGAATAATGCAGTACGTATTTATCTTTTTTCATATTTGTTGATAAAATCTTGTATGTTGACTTTGCTATTTGGATGTTTTGTAAGTTTTTGTAAGGAATGGACTGACAAACATAGAGTTGCTTATGTGTATTTCAGGGTAGAAAAGACCTCAGAATTACAACCACGTGTTTTTCTTCAAATTGCACCAAGATTGGGGTTTTCAGATATGCATGTATATACCCACAAGGCAAAGAAACTGTGATGTTGTTTATCACCAGGGGATTTGTTTCGAAGAAAATATCTGTAATGGAAATAGTAATGAATGTGGTCCCTAAGGAGTTTTCTAAAACTTATTTCCTGAACCAATAAACAAATTCAAATCCTGAGTGAAAATCTGGTTAATCAGAGTGAGTGAGTGAGTTTGGTTTTACGCCGCTTTTAGCAATATTTCAGCAATATCACCGCGGGGGACACCAGAAATGGGCTTCACACATTGTACCCATGTCGGGAATCGAACCCGGGTCTTCGGCGTGACGAGCGAACGCTTTAACCACTAGGCTACCCGACCGCCCCTGGTTAATCAGAAATGAGAACCAGATTGTATTGGAACGGAAAGCACTAAGTCTTGTAATTTGAGATATCACTATATTATTTTTTCACAAACCACATAAAAATTGTTTCCACTTTTACACACTGTCTACGTTGAGAGTTCAGGTTAGAAAAGGCCGCTGCACCCAATGCTTGTGGTAAAAGCCGAGATAAGGTGATCGGCTGGTTATAATGCGTAACCTAGGAAACAGGTTGTCGTGGTGCTGCGACAGTGTGGATGGTTGTTCATGCTTCTAACCGCTAGTTTACATTATCCAGACGCGGTTCACCTTGATATCGCTAGAATATTACTCACTGTGGCGTACACATAATTCACCGACTCACATTTACTTTCTCAACAATTCAGATTATACCTGTCTGGCTGTGTGGTATTACTGGCTGGCTGGTATTAAAGGCATTCGGTGCATTGCAATCACAGTGTCATTTCAGCCAGCATTCAGGAGTATCCATATTAGAATTAATTTCACTAGTTTCACTCGTTCCCATGACTATCATGTCACCGACACAATTTTGACGGGAGTTCAATATCTAATTTTACTAATATTCAAATTTGTGTAAACCACAAAAAGCCTTTCTCAAATCCCAGACGTCATACTGTGGAGGATATCGGTCGGTATGAGGTTTACAGTGCAGTTATATACTATCAGTACTGCTTACATTATTATGTAGGAAACGGAATTTGTCGCGTTGATCCGAATGGTATTATAAGACAATACCTGGCTACGTCACAGTGACGCATGGGCATAACAAGATGCTCGGTGTGAGCCTCCATTGTTCTGATTTTGTTTGTTTCATCAAGGGACAATCCATAAAATTGCGACTACACAACTTATATAAATAAACCAACGAACTGGTGATGGAGAGGTTTTAACAGACATGCTGGAACGTGACGTGGTCCTGTAACGATATCATTCATATTTACTATATGGCGTATCTTCAAAATATGTCTGGCTTAAATTCACACACGCACAAATTGGTTCGGATTCCTGTCTCTGTACCACGGCCAATTCCACTTTATAGATGACACGCTGTAGAACCGGTGACGTTGGCATTTAACTCTGCTCTTGAGAGCGTCATTTTGCCATTTTATATTGATCCTGAAGGTGACTCTGGCATACTTGAGTATTTTATTAAATCCTATTTAGTTTCCGCTATTGCGGTCTGACATGGAAGTTACCCAATCTGCCTCCCCGCAGTGGGTATTACGCTGTAAACAGTCTGGCTTGTAATCCTTAGTGTTTCGCGGTGATGCTATCGTTCGTACAATTCCACCAACGTGTTATAACGACATCATCCATATGGATGGAATATAGGAAGAAGGATGTAAAGTCAAAATAATATTTTTGTCACACTGGCATAGTTAGCCTTCATTGAAGTGAAAATATAAATGACATCTGGAAAGGTTTGATGAACAACGTCAGAAACAGATCATTGTGAAAGACAATTAGTTATTACTGCAAAAATGTTGGACTGACGTCAGACAGAACATTAGAATAGTAAGTGGTACCCTGTTTCTTACCAGGGACTGTTAGACTCTCAAATCATCATACACTGTATCTGTTAATTTGGTGTCTTTATGTCTGGGATGCACCGATAGAGTAAACACTGCCGTATAGAGTGGACAAGAAACTCACAAAAATGAAGAACACAACGTTTAAGAATTTGTCGGAAGATCTTTCACTTAAACAAATTGAAAACAGGACGTATGATATAGGATGCAGAATGTGGGATGTGGGATCAGGCCATGATGTGGGTTATGTGAGATGCAGGTGTTTTGTTGTTTGGAGAAGGAGATGCTAAATAGGATGCTGTTGGGCCTGGGGTGAAGGATGTTGGATGCGGTAGGTGGCACGTAAGAGGTGTCATGCGGCATGTGGGATGCAGTATGTGGTATGTGAGAGGTGACATGCAGCATGTGGGATGCGGTAGGTGGTATATGAGAGGTGGCATGCAGCATGTGGGATGCAGTAGGTGGTATGTGAGAGGGGTCATACAGCATGTGGGATGCGGTAGGTGGTATGTGACAGGTGGCATGCAGCATGTGGGATGCAGTAGGTGGTATGTGAGAGGTGGCATGCAGCATGTGGGATGCAGTAGGTGGTATGTGAGAGGGGTCATACAGCATGTGGGATGCAGTAGGTGGTATGTGAGAGGTGGCATGCAGCATGTGGGATGCAGTAGGTGGTATGTGAGAGGTGTCATACAGCATGTGGGATGCAGTAGGTGGTATGTGAGAGGTGGCATGCAGCATGTGGGATGCAGTAGGTGGCACGTAAGAGGTGGCATGCAGCATATGGGATGCAGTAGGTGGTATGTGAGAGGTGGCATGCAGCATGTAGGATGCAGTAGGTGGTATGTGAGAGATGGCTTGCAGCATGTGGGATGCAGTAGGTGGTATGTGAGAGGTGACATGCAGCATGTGGGATGCAGTAGGTGGTATGTGAGAGGTGTCATACAGCATGTGGGATGCAGTAGGTGGTATGTGAGAGGTGTCATACAGCATGTGGGATGCAGTAGGTGGTATGTGAGAGGTGGCATGCAGCATGTGGGATGCAGTAGGTGGTATGTGAGAGGTGGCATGCAGGATTTGGGATGCAGTAGATGGTATGTGAGAGGTGGCATGCAGCATATGGGATGCAGCAGGTGGTATGTGAGAGGTGGCATGCAGGATTTGGGATGCAGTATGTGGTATGTGAGAGGTGGCATGCAGCATGTGGGTGCAGTAGGTGCTATGTGAGAGTGGCATGCAGCATGTGGGATGCAGTAGACGGTATGTGAGAGGTGTCATACAGCATGTGGGATGCAGTAGGTGGTATGTGAGAGGTGTCATACAGCATGTGGGATGCAGTAGGTGGTATGTGAGAGGTGGTATGCAGGATTTAGGATGCAGTAGGTGGTATGTGAGAGTTGGCATGCAGCATGTAGGATGCAGTAGGCGGTATGTGAGAGGTGTCATACAGCTTGTGGGATGCAGTAGGTGGTATGTGAGAGATGGCATGCAGGATTTGGGATGCAGTAGGTGGTATGTGAGAGGTGGCATGCAGCATGCGGGATGCAGTAGGTGGTATGTGAGAGGTGACATACAGCATGTGGGATGCAGTAGGTGGTATGTGAGAGGTGTCATGCAGCATGTGGGATGCAGTAGGTGGTATGTGAGAGGTGGCATGCAGGATTTGGGATGCAGTAGGTGGTATGTGAGAGGTGGCATGCAGGTTTAGGGATGCGGTAGGTGGTATGTGAGAGGTGGCATGCAGCATGCGGGATGCAGTAGGTGGTATGTGAGAGGTGACATACAGCATATGGGATGCAGTAGGTGGTCTGTGAGAGTTGGCATGCAGCATGTGGGATGCAGTATGTGGTATGTGAGAGGTGTCATACAGCATGTGGGATGCAGTAGGTGGTATGTGAGAGGTGGCATGCAGGATTTGGGATGCAGTAGGTGGTATGTGAGAGGTGGCATGCAGCATGTGGGATGCGGTAGGTGGTATGTGAGAGGTGGCATGCAGCATGTGGGATGCAGTAGGTGGTATGTGAGAGGTGACATGCAGCATGTAGGATGCGGTAGGTGGTATGTGAGAGGTGGCATGCAGCATGTGGGATGCAGTAGGTGGTATGTGAGAGGTGGCATGCAGCATGTGGGATGCAGTAGGTGGTATGTGAGAGGTGGCATGCAGCATGTGGGATGCGGTAGGTGGTATGTGAGAGGTGGCATGCAGCATGTGGGATGCGGTAGGTGGTATGTGAGAGGTGGCATGCAGCATGTGGGATGCGGTAGGTGGTATGTGAGAGGTGGCATGCAGCATGTGGGATGCAGTAGGTGGTATGTGAGAGGTGGCATGCAACATGTGGGATGCGGTAGGTGGTATGTGAGAGGTGGCATGCAGCATGTGGGATGCGGTAGGTGGTATGTGAGAGGTGGCATGCAGCATGTGGGATGCGGTAGGTGGTATGTGAGAGGTGGCATGCAGCATGTGGGATGCAGTAGGTGGTATGTGAGAGGTGGCATGCAACATGTGGGATGCAGTAGGTGGTATGTGAGAGGTGGCATGCAGCATGTGGGATGCAGTAGGTGGTATGTGAGAGGTGGCATGCAGCATGTGGGATGCGGTAGGTGGTATGTGAGAGGTGGCATGCGGCATGTGGGATGCGGTAGGTGGTATATGAGAGGTGGCATGCAGCATGTGGGATGCAGTAGGTGGTATGTGAGAGGTGGCATGCAACATGTGGGATGCGGTAGGTGGTATGTGAGAGGTAGCATGCAGGATTTGGGATTCAGTAGGTGGTATGTGAGAGGTGTCATACAGCATGTGGGATGCAGTAGGGGGTATGTGAGAGGTAGCATGCAGGATTTGGGATGCAGTAGGTGGTATGTGAGAGGTGACATGCAGCATATGGGATGCAGTAGGGGGTATGTGAGAGGTGGCATGCAGCATGCGGCAAATGTGATGTAAGATGCAGAAAGTGGGATATGGAATATGTGATGTGTGGGATGTGGGATATGGGATGCAGGCAGTGGAATGTGGGATGTGAGAGGCGGGATGCAGAACTAAAGATGCGGGATGCGGGGTGTTGGGTGTGGAATGTGGAATGTGAGTTTCGGGGTGTTGGATGTGGGATGCGGGATGCAGCTGTGGGGTGTGGGATATGGAATGTGGGATGTGGGGTGAGGGGTGTCGGGTTTGGAATGTGGAATGTTGGGTGTGGGGTGTGGGGTGTAGGATATGGGATGCGGAATGTGGGGTGTGGGGTGTAGGATATGGAATGTGGGGTGCGGGGTGAGGGGTGTTGGATCTGGAATGAGGAATGTTGGGTGTTGGGTGTGGGGTGAGGGATGCGGGATGCGGGATGTGGGATATGGAATGTGGGGTGTGGGGTTAAGGGTGTTGGGTTTTGGAATGTGGAATGTTGGGTGTGGGGTGTGGGGTGTAGGATGAGGGATGCGGGATGCGGGATGTGGGGTTTGGGGTGTGGAATGTGGAATGTGGGGTGTGGAATGTGGGGTGTGGGATTTGATATGCGGGGTATGGCAGTCTGTTTTGAGCTGTTGGATATGAAAGGTGTGATGTCTGCTGTGTGCTGTGTGGTTTGACGTGTGATGTGCGATGGGGGTGGGGCATGTGGCGTGTGTGGTATGTGGCGCGTGTGTGTGTGTGGCCAGGATGGGTTTGGGGGTGGGTACGTGTGGTGCGGGATTCGGAGTGTGTGGGATGTGGGGTGTGGGATGCGGGATGTGTGGTGTGTGGTGTGTGGTGTGTGGTGTGTGGTGCGGGGTATGGCAGTGCGATTTGAGCTGTGTGATGTGGAATGTGTGGTGTGTGGTGTGTGGTGTGTTTGTGGTGTGTTGTGTGATGTGTGGAGTGTGGGGTGGAGATTTGGGATGTGGAATGTCTGGTGTGGGATGCGGGATGTGAGGGATGAAGCGTGTGGGGCGTGGGCTGAGGGATGTGGGATGTGTGGTGTGTGGTGCGTGGTGTGGTGTGGGCTGAGGGATGTGGGATGTGGGATGTGTGATGTATGGTGTATGGTGTATGGTGTGGTGTGTGGTGTGGGCTGAGGGATGTGTGGTGTGGTGTGGTGTGGTGTGGTGTGGTGTGGTGTGGTGTGGTGTGGTGTGGTGTGGTGTGGTGTGGTGTGGTGTGGTGTGGGGTGGGGTGGGGTGGGGTGGTGTGGTGTGGTGTGGGGTGGGGTGTGGAGTGGGGTGTGGTGTGGGATGAGGGATTTGTGGTGTGTGGTTTGTGATTTGAGAGGCGGGATGTGGCAAGTGTGATGTGAGATGCGGGAAGTAAAAGTAAAAGTAAACCAAACATAAGTTTTACCCGAATAGTATTTAAAACCAATGCGTATAAAATAACAAAAGACACAGTGTAGGTTAAATGCTGCTCCCAACAGACATACATGGACATATCGATGTTCTGCGTGAAATATGACTCAAGGACAATGTAATCACTCATGGAAAATTATCAACGTACTGTGAAATGTGTGTCTCCTGTTTAAATGACTGTGTCACGAACACCGTCAACACACGGTCATTATCAAGAACGAGGTATTGGCCTCGGGTTTTATTCTTTAACATTGACGGTGCCGTAATGGCTAACTGAGGTTTTATCTGTCACTGTATGTTTGTCAAGAATGATATCACCAGTTTCAAAATTAATTCGTCTTTGGCTGAGAGACCTTTGGGCTCTGAACCTCTTTCAATACGAAGGTTGAAAACTGACAGAAAATCTTTACACATACAATGGATGCCTAGAGACGTGGATTCCTCTTAAAGAAATATAAATTCTGTTAGCAGTTGTTCTGCCTTTCCATCTTATTAAATATTTAAAGATGCAAAGTCAAAGTGTCAAGAAATAACTATTTCATCATGGTCTACTTGCTGTAGAAAACTAATTCCAATGTGGATGCGGGATGCGGGATGCGGGATGCGGGATGCGGGATGAGGGATGAGGAATTAAAGATGCTGGATGCGGAAAGCTTGATGCGGGATCAAAGATGCGGGATGTGGAATGTGGGATGCGAGATGTGAGATGCGGGATGCGGGATTAAAGATGCAGGACGCGGGGTGCGGGATGCGGGATGTGGGAGTAAAGATGCAGGATGTCGCATGCGGGATGTGGAATGTGTGATGTGTGATGTTGGGTTCGCAGTGTGTTGTGTGGGATGTGGGAGTTGATATCAGGGATGTGAGATGTGGAATGTGTGATGTGTGATGTTGGGTTCGCAGTGTGTTGTGTGGGATGTGGGAGTTGATATGAGGGATGTAAGATGTGGAATGTGTGATGCGGAAAGTGGAATGTGGGTGCAGGGTGTTTGATGCGGGGTGTGTGATGTGTGATTTGAGATCGGGGAATGTGTGATGTGTGATGTGGAATGGTGGATTTGAGATGTGGAATGTGGGGTGTGGGATGTGGGATGTTTGTTTGTTTGTTGCTTGACGGCGACCTGTAAATAATAGAGTCTGGACCAGACAACCCAGTGATTCATATCATGAACATTGATCCACGAAATTGGAATACGATGACATGCATCGACCCAGTCAGCGAGCCTGACCACCCGATCCTGTTAGTCGCCTCTTACGATAAGCATGGGTTGCTGAAGGCCTATTCTAACCCAGTTCTACACAGGTTGTGATGTGGGACTCGGAAAGTGGAATATGGAATTTGAGAAGCGGGATGCAGAAACGGGGTGCGGGGTGCGGGGTGCGGGGTGCGGGGTGCGGGGTGCGGGATTAAAGATGCGAGACGCGGGAAGTGGAATGTGGAATTCGGGATGTGAGATGTGTGATATATGATGTTGGGTGTGGGATTTGAGAAAGGGGATGTGGAATGTGTGATCTGTAATTTGTGATGTGTGATGTGGCATGTGGGATTTGAGCTGTGGGGTGTGGTTTGTGGGGTGTGGGGTGTGTGATGTGGGGTGTTGGGTGTGGGGCATGGTGTGTGGTGTGTGGTGTTTGGTGTTTGGTGTGTGGTGTGTGGTGTGTGGTGTGTGGTGTGTGGTTTGTCCGGTGTGAGATGTGGAATGTGGGATTTGAGATGTTGGATCTAGAATGTGTGATATGGAATTTGATTTGCGGCATGTGGCAAGTGTTATGTGAGATGTCCGATGTGGAATGTGGGATGGGGGACGTGGGATGTGGGATGCGGGATGCAGGATGGGGGTTTAAGATGCAGGATGTGTGATGTGTGATATGCGATGTGTGGTGTGATGTGTGGTGCGGGAAGTGGAATGCGAGATTGTTTTCTGCGTGTCGAGCGGTGGTGCATGGTGCGGGGTGACGGATGAGGGGTGCTGGGTGAGGGGTGCATGGTGAGGGGTGCGAGGTGCGTGATGAGGGTTGCGTGATGAGGGGTGCATGGTGCGGGATGCGAGGTGCGGGATGAGGGGTGCATTGTGCGGAGTGCATGGTGCGGGGTGCGAGGTGCGGGATGAGGGGTGCATGGTGCGGGGTGCATGGTGCGGGGTGCGAGGTGCGGGATGAGGGATGCATAGTGCGTGGTGCATGGTGCGGGGTGCGGAATGAGGGATGAGGGGTGCGAGATGAGAGGTGCGTGATGAGGGGTGCATGGTGCGAGATGAGGAGTGCGAGATGAAGGATGCGGGTGCGTGATGAGGGTGCGGGGTGCGAGGTGCGGGATGAGGGGTGCATGGTGCGGGGTGCATGGTGCGGGGTGCGAGGTGCGGGATGAGGGATGCATAGTGCGTGGTGCATGGTGCGGGGTGCGGAATGAGGGATGAGGGGTGCGAGATGAGAGGTGCGTGATGAGGGGTGCGGGGTGCGAGATGAGGAGTGCGAGATGAAGGGTGCGGGTGCGTGATGAGGGTGCGGGGTGCGGAATGAGGGATGAGGGGTGCGAGATGAGAGGTGCGTGATGAGGGGTGCGGGGTGCGGAATGAAGGATGAGGGGTGCGAGATGAGAGGTGCGTGATGAGGGGTGCGGGGTGCGAGATGAGGAGTGCGAGATGAAGGGTGCGGGTGCGTGATGAGGGTGCGGGATGAGGGGTGCGGAATGAGGGGTTCAAAACCAGTTTCAAAATTAATTCGCCCTTGGCTGAGACCTTAGGGCTGTGAACCTCTTTCAGTACGAAGGTTGAAAACTGACAGAAAATCTTTACACATACAATGGATGCCCAGAGAAGTGGATTCTTTTTAAAGAAATAAAGTATGTTTGTAGTTGTTCTGCCTTTCCATCTTATTAAATATTTAAAGATTTAAAGAAATAAATATTTCATCTGGGTCTTCATTCTGTGGAAAACTAATTCCAAAATGTGACATTCTGTTCCTTTACTCTGTGCAGAGATTGAGTCTTTAGACATATCAAGCTATTTGTCAGCAAGCTTTGACGTTCATGCAGTTTGGCCCCCACTCTATGAAGAGTCATACTTCAATGAAGTCAATTCTTACATAATGTATGTTTTACAAAATGCTAGAGATGATACATAGAGTGTTAGAGACGTCCCATTCATTTCACATTTAAACATTCAAATTACTTTTGAGTTTATATTATAGATTAAAGGCGCCGAACATCACCTGATAGAGAACACACAGTGCTTTACGGTGTCACGTGAACATCATACTTCTAAATTCATTGTAAAGGGCAAGGTCCTGCTAGAACTTTTTGGGTTGGTTTGTTGTTTAACGCAGCACTCAGCACTATTCCAGCGGTCTGTAAATAATCGAACCAGACAATCCAGTGATTAATGTCATGAACATCGATCCCCACAACTGGGATCGATGACATGTATAAACCAAGTCAGCGACCCAACCACCCGATCCCGTTAGTCGCCTCTTACGACAAGCATAGCCGCCTCTTACGGCAAGCATGGGTCTCTGAAGACCTATTCTACCCAGAATCGTCACGAGTCGTCATAATGGGAATGATGCAACCATTTCCGCACAAAACCTATGCCATTCGATGTGTATTCTGGCGTGCACAGACTGATGTATGTAAAATATTATTTTATTTAACGTACATCTTATTTGACAACTGCCTTTTACGTTCACGAATCAGCTGAACGTCCCATTTTGTGGTTAGGCATGAGTCATCAAATATAAAGTCTGTTAAAATCAATTATACGACAAAACAGACAAAAATAGAATCGAAATAAAATATGTCTAGACATCATTTGTTGTTTATCTCTAGATCTTATTTCTTAAATGACCACATAGTCGGTGCAGTCAATTCACTGGCAATGTAGGGGAGACTACTCTAACGGCCTCGTTGTTTAACCTTAAGATTCACTGACGAGAACCGGTCATAAAATCTATATTTCTAAACTTTTCAAGGCGGCTCATTTCTGGAGCACGGAATATCCAAAGTAAAGGTTATGCTTTCTTACCTTATTCAGTAGGAATTGAAACCACTGAGGTTTTGTCATCACAATGCCAGTGCTCGTGGGTTTTATCAAACAGGTCATCTTGCTGCCTAACGTTCTTTTTTGTTACTACTATTACTACTACTACTACTACTACTACTACTACTACTACTACTACTACTACTAGGGGTGGTCGGGTAGCCTAGTGGTTAAAACGTTCGCTCGAAAACCGGGCTCGATTCCCGACATGGGCACAATGTTTGAAGTCCATTTCTGGTGTCCCCCGCCGTGATATTGCTGGAATAATGCGGCGTAAAACGATACTTACTCGCTCATTTACTTGTTTTTATGCCAGTGCTCTTTCTGTCTAACGTTGTTTTTCGCTCCCACTTAACCTGACACGACATGGTCATATAGTTTTCCAAAAGACGTTAAATACCACTCACCAACCATGGCATAACTCGTTAACAATTTGTTGTGTCTTGCAGTCGTTTCCCGGCATGTCAGTTAGACCAAACCAATACCTCATCGAAAAGATCATTTGCTGAAAACATCTACATGCGTTGATGCCTCAACGGGAAACCCTTCACATTTTACGCCCGCTTCATTATTCCCAAAACTGAGCCACTCTATTCTTTCCACTCACTGCACCTCCAGAACACAGTAGATTCTTACGAAACCAGTTCTTATATTACTGTCAGTAATATTCGTCTTCTGCTGGCCAGCAGACAAATACGTATTTTCTGTTTCAATCAGACACGACATTTAAATGATCTGAAGGCTTCTAGCAATCATACAAAAATTGGAATTAAAGTGTCTTCCTTGTGTCAGTTCCTAAATATATGTGTCGAATAATACAGTGAGTGAGTGAGAATGGTTTAACGCCGCTTTTAGCAATATCACGGCGGGGGACATCAGAAATGGGCTTCACACATTGTACCCATGTCAGGAATCGAACCCGGGTCTTCGGGGCTTTAACCACTAAGCTACCGACCGCCCCGCGGTTATAAATATGCTTAACAAATGTCCCTAGTACAGCGCTTATCTAACCCCTCAACATTTGCTATAGGTACTGAGCCGTGTCAAACTGCTGTGAAACTAGAGGATAACAACTTGTAAGGTGTGTACGTTTGGTTACTTATCAGGAAATGAGCTTCAAAAGCTTGCGTTCCTTAGCAGTGATAACTTATATTCGTGTGACAACATAGTCACATTCAGGCAAAACGTGGACGCTCTATAGTAGAATACTTCCCCATCATTCTATGTTACGTACCGTGAAGATTCCGGGTTAGAATTAGTCTTCAGCAACCCGTGCTTGTCGTAAGAGGCGACTAACGGGATCGGGTGGTTAAGCTCGCTGCATGTCATCGTATCCCAAAGGCGTAGATCGATGGTCATGTTGTCGATCACTGGATTGTCTGGTCCAGACTCAATTATTTACAGACCGCCGTCATTTTGCTGGAATATTGCTGAGTGCGGCGTTAAACAACAAACAAACAAACATTCTATGTTACAGTCAATGTGCAAAAGGATTGTAGTTTTACTTAGGCAAATTACAAAATGCCTAAATATATCAGTTATTTAAAAAATTGACTGAAACTTCTATCCATTTATTTTGTTATGATAACGAAGTCGAAACATTTTAAACTTTAATTTCATCACCCATTGACTGAAAATGATAGGATCAAAAGAATACGAAAGTCAATGTATATATTTTATATTTATTGGCTTCTTATCCTCGCATAATTAATCTATTGTGATGTTTTTACGCCCTTTTGAACTTCTTAATAATTTTAGTCAATTTGTCAATTAAATGGACAGATATTTCAAACAATTTTAAAATGATATTTAGGCATTTTGTAAATTGCCTCAGTGAATCACATGTCTCACATTGACTGATTTTACACATTTACTGTTACATATATGCCAGCAGTCGAAAGAATGTGGGGTTACACGGACGTAACGGGATGATTTCAACAGATTTGAAACGAGTTAACGATGTGAAGTTAGGTAACAAGTGAATTTGAAATGAAATCTTGTCTGAAATCGTAACATCAAATGATGAAATTATTAAAACTCTTTATTGATCACAATATTTCCCACTCAACACCAGTACTAGATCATTTCAGTTACGAGAAAAGTAGGGGATTTGATTCATTTGACGCTAAAATGCTTGTATAGTTGATAAAACCAAAGAGTTACATTGTTATTTTCTTCTTACAATGATCCGGAGGTTACTGTGTTCTACATAACAAAAACGACAAACACTATTTTTTATAACCATAACAAATCTGTGCTCAAAGCAATTGCGACTATATTATGAGTATGTGGTTATGAATTACTATTAAATAGTCATCACACCAGATGTTCGCGAAGGCACCCGTCACAAATACATGTCAATTGTTCACCAAATGTCCACGGGAACATATTGTAAGTCAATATAAGGACTTTCATCAGGAATCGTGTTTTTGCGTGATGCGTCCAATTTGAAAATGTCCCCAATATGTATACCATGTAATTTGTTGAAAGGTTTACTGAGGTCTTATGAAATTGTCTTTATTCGTCCAGAAGGCGAGGTTTCTGGACTTACAGGGTCCGAATTAACGAGGTTCAACTGTATTCGTGTAGACCATAGTATAATCCTCACTAAACAGATGTGACATACTGTAAAACGGCTTTCTTAAAATACATTTGCCACTTCATTTGTAAAAGCTACAAACTAAAAAACATTCTGGCTGTTTTATGATCTTAAATATCAGATGCTCAAGTGCGTCGTCTTAAAAATTGTTTATTTTAGAAGAAATCCTAGAAAATCAATTCGTGTTTGTCTGTTTTGGGAGAAATTAATTAAATTAAGGGCTCAAAGCTCCAATTAATTAACTTAAAGGCACTAAGCTCAAACTGTGTTAAAGGATGATGACCCAAAGGAGATGTTATTTAGAAATCCCTGTGGTCATTATTGTGAGAACAAAAAGAATAATGTATAACCTTAATTGTCACATGATTCATGTCCGTGTGTATTAATCAGGTTATGCATATCGCATTAATGGCTGTTAAGACCCGTGACGATCTGGCTTTGAATTATTCTCCATCAACTCATGTTTGTCGTAAGAGGCGACTAACGGGATCGGGTGGTCAGGCTTGATGACTTGGTTGATGCATGTCATTGTATCCCAATTGCGTGGTTCGATGCTCATGATGTCAACCACTGGATTGTTGGTCCAGATCGATTATCTACAGACAGACGTCATATAGCTGGAATATTGCTGAGTGCGGCGTTAAACAAACAAACCAACAAATGATGTTTTTGTTTTTAGCAAACACCAACTGGCGTTTTGGATTATATTGTTATTCTACCAAGAGTCACTTCAGTCGCCCGTCGTGAAGGAACTAAAATTCATTCCAAAATGGCGTTATTCCTGAAATCGTCAGTTATGTGATTAATGATCACGACGAGGATGTTATTGCCAGATTTCGTCCACAAACAGCATAACGCCAACTGTTTCACACTGGTTCAAAATCAAAATCTAAGGAATGTTGACAATCGAAAATGACATTCAACTCATCAGGCATCAGGCATCTGTTGCCAGTCAGACGTACGAAGAGGCAATAATACACATTCATTTACTGTTCAAGCAACACTCTTCATTTGCGTTCCAGCGTGAGTAACAATATCAATATCTTCTCAAACAATCTGATGTTGCGGTTTCTGAGACGGTTGTACAGTATATTAAATAGCTCACAGCGTGATGATGCGAGGTCCTACACAGGTGGAAGACGTATACGCAGGTGTGCTTCCCACGAGCATCTGAAGGGCACAGACATACAAAACATAACAATCAAGCTGAATCTCGAAACCAGAGCGAATTAGTGCACCTAAGGCAAATGAGTCATTTGTTCATTTAATATACACTCACAAAATAACAGTAATATTAAAATCACTGGCACTGACGCCACACTACATTTCCACATACATTTAACAAACTTTATATGATTTTGTGATTATAGAACAGTTGCATAGTATGTCACTTTCTTGTCAATGAGAGTGATGAAACCTGGATTTGTTATTTGACTGCAATTTTAAGATAAATGTGCTTACATGATAACAAAACAAAATTAATCAGGATTGTAATGATAAATAATGCTTCTCATTGTTGAATCTAGTAACTTATATCCTTTAAGGATCTCGCACTGTGTGCTTGTTACTAGTACTTTGAAGTAGATTGTTTTGTTATCTAGTTATAATGATGAGTACCAGTGTACGGTTCTATGTGATAGAGTTAGTGAGTTGGGTTTAACGCCGCTTTTAACAGTATTTCAGTTATATGTGGGAGGAAAGCCGGAATTGATGCAGGTCTCAGATGTTAACCACTTCGGTGAAACCCACGAGCACGGGTATGGTGCTGACAAACCTAGAAACATAATCGGGGCGAACAATCATAGGTTTCTGGCGTGCCTAAGGGGCGCGACTCTGCACAGCGAATCGCGGCGCATTGGGCGGTTGGGCCCCCCGTGCCCCCTATGTGATAGAAGGACAATGACATAATGGTCTTTAAGTACACAAACTACACACGCAGAACAATATATACCTGTATAGCCAAGTGTATGTGAATAGGTGTATTCCTATAAGATATAAGGTTCCGAAACTTTTCTAAGGATGGAGTGAGTGAGAATGGTTTTACGCCGCTTTTAGCAATATTCCAGCAATATCACGGCGGGGGACACCAGAAATGGGCTTCACACATTGTACCCATGTCGGGAATCGAACCCGGGTCTTCTGCGTGACGAGCGAACGCTTTAACCACTAGGCTACCCGACCGCCCCTTTCTAAGGATGGACCAAACCCTAGCGAAAACATGACAAGATACTAGTGTTTCGTTCAGGTGGTTATGGTGAAACTCGTTATAGGGATTATTTACAAAGATAAACTAATTAATTAAGCGTTCCATCGTACCCTATCGGACCAAACGTATAGCTGTTGGGAAAAGGGATGCACGGGTATTCATAGACGTTAACATTTACAGTTAAATCCGCTTTATTAAAACATTTAGCGAAATTCGGCATTGTGCCCTCTGTTGCAATTGTCAAGTTGATATTCGAAT